GCAAGGTGATCTCTCTGCTTTTTAAGATGCTGTTGAGATTTGTCATCGCTTTCCTCCCAAGAAGCGGGCGTTTTGTAATTTTGTGGCTGCTGTCACCATATGCAATGATCATGGAGCCCAAGAGAGTAAAATCTGTCACTGCCTCCATATCTTCCACTTCTATTTGCCAGAAAGTGATGGGGCCAGTGGCTATGATCTTAGTTTTTTTGATATTGAGCTTCAGACCTTTTTTTGCACTCTCCTCTTTTACCCTCATTACAAGGTTCCTTAATTCCTCCTCACTTTCTGCCATCAGAGTGGTATCATCTGCATATCGGAAGTTGTTATTTCTTCTGGCAATCTTAATTCCGGTTTGGGATTCCTCCAGTCCAGCCTTATACAGTCTTGTCATACTCCTTTCCCAATTTTGAACCAATCAGTTGTTCCATATCCAGTTCTAACTCTTGTTTCCTATGCCACGTATAGATTTCTCAGGCGATAGATAAGGTGGTCAGGCACTCCCATTTCTTTAAGGACTTGCCATAGTTTGTTGTGGTCCACACAGTCAAAGGCTTTTGCAAAGTCAATAAAGCAGAAGAAGATGTTTCTCTGGAACTCTCTGGCTTTCTCCATAATCCAGCGCAAGTTAGCAATTTGGTCTCGAGTTCTTCTGCCCCTTCGAAATCCAGCTTGTTCTTCTGGGAGTTCTCGGTCCACATACTGCTGAAGCCTACCTTGGAGGATTTTGAGCATAACCTTGCTAGCGAGTGAAATGATTGCAACTGTACAGTAGTTGGAGCATTCTTTGGTACTGCCCTTCTTTGGGATTGGGATGAAGACTGATTTTTCCAATCCTCTGGCCACTGTTGAGTTTTCCAAACTTGCTGGCATATTGAATGTAGCACCTTAACAGTGTCATCTTTTAAGATTTTAAATAGTTCAACTGGAATGCCATCACCTCTACTGGCCTTGTTGTTAGCCAAGCTTTCTAAGGCCCACTTGACTTCACTCTCCAGGATGTCAGGTTCAAGGTCATCAACCACACTATCTGGGTTGTCCAGGACATCCAGATCTTTTTGGTACAATTCCTCTGTGTATTCTTGCCACCTCTTCTTGATGTTTTCTGCTTCTGTAAGGTCCCTACCATTTTTGTCCTTTATCATGTCCATAAATTTTTTTTGCTAGAAATGTTCCTTTGATATCTCAAATTTTCTTGAACAGATCTCTGTTTTTTCCTCTTTCTATTATTTTCCTCTATATCTTTGCACTGTTCATTTAAGAAGGCCCTCTTGTCTCTCCTTGCTATTCTTTGGAAGTCTGCATTCAATTTTCTGTAACTTTCTGGACTTTCCCTATCTCCCTTGCATTTTGTTTCCCTTCTCTTCTCTTTTATTTGTAAGGCCTCATTGGACAGCCCCTTTGCTTTCTTGCATTTCCTTTTTTGGGGATGGTTTTTGTTGCTGTCTCCTGGACAGTGTTACCAGCCTCCATCCATAGTTCTTTAAGCACTCTGTCCACCAAATCTAGTTCTTTAAACCTGTTCTTCACTTTCACTGTGTATTCATAAGGGATTTGGTTTAGATTATACCTAACTAATAAATATACACAACTGTAAAAAATGAGGTTGACTTGATTCAAAACACATGTTTCTATTCAAAGCTACAAAAACAACTAATAATGGCATCACAAGCAAAGGTGGAAGACATTAAACATTCCTTTCATTCCAGTCATAATTTTGTTAGCATAATCTCAGTAATAAAGAAGGAAATCAGACATTTCCTATATGAAAGTTTACGTGGAGTATATACTTCCAATTCCTTTTATACATGCCATGTTCCACCTGAACAACTGTGACAAAGTTACTATTATAGCTAGGTTCTGTATTGCATCCCTGAAGAAAGAATAATGGATGAATTCATAAATTGTGATGCTAAACATACCAGAAGATGCCTCCAACCTCTCCAGTCTACTGATAAGCCAGTCAAGAGATCCAGAAAACTGGGCACAATTTTTACGATTCCCTCTAATCAAAGCCGCTAGAAAGAGAGACAAAAAGAATACATTATTTTTATTTTAGAAATCCTCCTAATCATAGACCAAAGAATACAACTTAACACACTAGGGTGTGAATGAGTGGTGTATTCCTGCATTTATCAAAATCCTGTTTAATAAATTATGCCTGTGTTAAATTTGATAACATCACTATCTGGAGGAAATTGCTCAGGAATCACCTAACTCATTATGGATGATTTGGGAGAGCCCCTAGATCAGTGATGGAGAACCTTTTTGAGCCCGAGTGCTCAAACTGCAACACAAAATCAACTTATTTATTTCAAAGTGCCAACACTGCAATTAAAACCTGAATACTGAGGTTTTAGTTTAGAAAAAACAACTGCTCCTGCACTGCAAGGGTTAAATGCTTGTTTGTTTTTCCTATGGGTGGTATTAACAAAGAAATACTTACTGGTCCACCAATACCCCATTGGGCTAGACCAGTAGTGGTTGCCGTTGCACCCCTCCGCTGGACCAGTGCACCAGCAGAAGGGAGTGCCAAAATCTGGGATCGGAGAACGGGTAAGTATTTCTCAATGGTGACTTATCACTCAGGTGCCCACAGAGAGGGCACAGGTTCACCATCGCTGCCCTAGATTGAAGCAGGAATTCTTTAATTACCAGCAATAATGCCACTGTCAGTAGCATTATCTCATAGGTGGAGATTGCTAGTTAAACAGTTTTTGTTTTAATTTCAGGACTTGCCTGACTCCCTGTAATGAGACTGATTGCAGGTGAACTATAAGCAAATCAAAGAAGCAACTCATTAATTATCAGCAATCTCCCCTTACTCATGATATCTTTATAAAAGTGTAAGTAACTCAGTATTTTTGCCATTATTTGTTTACTGGGCCCCCTGCTTCCCCCAAACAGGATAAATATCAAGGAAGGGGATTGCTGCTTATGATGTCTGAATCCAGGATTATGGCATTCTTCCCATCTGTCTTGATGTGTACCAGAGGACAAACCAACAAAGATACTTGGAGACTTGGACTCCATCCTCAAACCATATGGTACCAATGCACCTAGCTGTGTAAGAAATACAACAGGCTTTATAAGAAAATTGCATTCCACTCCCAATCTCCCTAACACCATCATTTTAGCCACTTTGGATGAAGTTCTCCATACTAACATCCTACACAGAGATGGACTACAAGCTGTCAGAAATATCATTCAAAATGAAGATGAAGCCCACCTGGTCACCACCTTCTCTGACTTAGTGTTCATACACAACTATTTAATCTTTGACAGTAAAACCTAGCTCTGGATCAAGGGAACTGCCATGGGTAGTTGCATGGCTCCATAATATGCAAATATATTCAGAATTGACCTAAAACAATGCTTTCTTAACTGCTGTACCCAAAACCCACCCTTCTATTTAAGGAACAGGCCACTGACTTTTTTAAAACTCTCAACCCACAGAAAGGACACATTAAAATACAGCAGTTAGTCTTTAAGTTGCTCTCTGTCTTGCTCTCTCTCACTTGCTCTCTCACATTTGGTTTCCTGTTTGATATGCTTGCACAGACTAATGCAGCTACCAATCCAAAAACTTTATGTTAATGTTTTAGACTATATTTCAGTTTAAGAAAAAGAAATCCAATAAAGCCTTCAGCCAATTTTAAATCCAGAGTCAGAAATGGTTTTACTACTGATAATCTTTTATTAATTAAAAAAAAAGTAAAGATACACCCTGTCCCAAATTAAAAAGAACTGAAATTATTTTCCTAAATCAAGGTTTGGGAAGATTATGCGTCACATAAACATTATTGTCCTTGGTTTAGGCAAGTCTAAGGTTCCTAGGATGAGTGAGGCCTTTATTGAAGTACTGATCCTAGGAAACTGAGGTGGGCACAGGATCCTCCATGAATTCGCTCCCTGCAAAAAAAAAAAACATTTTTTTTTCCTGTTCACAGTTTTTCCAAGGCTTAAATCCAGGGATACTCTTCAACTTGGATTGTAATTAATGCCAGAAAAAAATTCAGGAAGCACTAGTGCTGTTTCTGTTTGTAGATTAATGTTATCTTGCCTCTGAAATTCAGTTTTTAGTCTTACCCCAAGGAGCTACTGTAGCATTTATCTTCCCTGGTACAAATCATCACTCAAAATGATGTCAATTTGTCTAAAGAAATATGTAAAAATTCTTAATCCTCTGAGAAAAAAAATCTTTTTATCCAACCAAAACTTTGTAGCAGAAAATAATTAATGACCCATATTAATAGTGTCTTCCTACTTTGGTTAGCTTTACCACAGGTCACGTAAACTCTACATTTAATCATAAAACACAGTCATCCCATGAACATCTGTCATGTCAAAAAAAGAAAATATGCTTCATGAGTTATTACTTAAAATAATTTGGTAGAAGAGAACTGAGGAACTAAGAAATAATAGTGATTATAACATCAAGTCGCTCTCTCACACACACACAAAACTCATCATTATATGTCATTAATGGAATAAGTTATAGCAATTAAATTTCCTCCCTTTTTTAATACAGTATATTTTACTACTTTTTATGCTAATATATATTCAAGAAATGACCAAATATTACTAAATTACTCAGGCAAACATCTTACTTTGATTTGAAAATACAATCAGTTAAGGATATATATTCTAATTTAATTGAAATATTTATTCACAACATGGATGGAAATAATTTAAATAAAATTTATTTATTTATTTAATAAACTCAAATACCACCAGATTAATGTTGGACATTACTACTGGAGGTTTACATCAAAGGAAGCAATCAATATAATATATGAGAAGCAAACAATATCAAACCATCAAATAAAATCAAATTAATCAGATAAGATTTGCCTCTATCTGTTCTATATTACCACATGGTTAAAATTCTAGAACTAGTGGATATGTGAATATCTATTTTAACATTAAGAAATTATGAAGGTATAAACGTAAAATGAATTGACATACTGTACTATACTGTTTCTACCCAAAGAAAAAAAGATCATATAAGAAGAAAATGGGCTTCCCAGGGAATATACCACTGAAATCTAAAATCTAAGCAAAAACCAATTTTAGACAGAGCAATTCTACCCTCCCATTTTTCTCTAGTGACAAGTGCTTGCCATGTCCAGTAGCAGTCAGACAAAGTTATGTACCGATGAAGTGATGTCAACAACAATAATCCATTCTGAATCACATGCACTCAGTGGTATGTTAAAGCTTCTAGATAGCAGAACTGGATGAGTAATATCCCAAATATTAATCCAAATGTAATTTGATTTCAGGAAGAGCACTTTCACTATTGAAGCTCATAATGATACTTAGGCTTTACTCAATGTTTTCAGTTAAACAAGTCATGGATTTGTAATTAAATTATGCCCTATTATTACAGAAAGTGGAATTAAATCAACCTCTGACAGACAAACCTGTGAACTTCCATACTTGACTTTTTCCGGTCAAGTGGAGTACACAATAATGTTAAACACTGCCATTTATATTACCAGAAAAGCTACTGTGTTGTACATCTAGATGCAAATAACCCTAGTTATGCAAATGCAACCTTACCTAATAATTCATACAGTGAGTTTAGAATAGATTTCCAGGTCTCTCCTGCCTCCTTCCCAGCTACATCAGCAAAATGTGCTGCACTGCTGTACACATGCAGACGATCAATACATTCAAGCACTAAGTTGATCATACCCTAAAAGAAAAAAAATGCTTACAACCAGACAATAACATTGGGTTTTAAATGTCAACAGATTGCACTTCTCATATCAAAAGCCAGGGGCTCCAATTCTAAAACAGACAAGACTGTGAGTTTTATAGATATAAGCAACTGCTAAAATAAGCAGTGAAAAAGATGTGCAATTCTTCGGGACTAGAATGCATTAAATTTTTCAAAGTATGGAGGAATTTCTCTTTCCAATATGTTCTGCTTCTATCTAAGCAAATAACTAACTCAAACTTTATGCAAATATAAATTTTAGCTAGTCCTAAAATTAAACGCCAAAGGAAAAATCAAGTCTGATACCTCTTCTTGGAAGAGATTCTGTCGATTCTTCAGTGCTCTTAAACGGTTCTGCTTGTCTTCATGCTCTAAATGTTCATCAGGTGGATGGAAGTAACCAATCAAATCCTGGAGGCTAAGGCTGACTGATTCAATAGGTAAATCAACTGTGGAAGACTTTGCTTTCTTACTGAGAGCATCAAGACCCCTATAATGAATTAAACAGCTATTTCAGTTGGACACATTTGTAACTTGATTTTTAATTTCATTATTATCATATCTCAAATAAATTTGGTTCATTCACATGTTACTTAACAAATATGGTGTACATATCATGTCTGATAAGCAGCATGGTTCAGTGCTGTTCCTAAAGATCCTCAGAATTCAGTCATCAAGAATTTGTTATGACTTACAAAATTCTTATCACCCTTTGAAATTGAATTCTATCAATTACTTCTGCTTCTCAGAAATCCTTTCACATACTTCAAGTCTGAAGCTCCCACTAACTTCTAAAATAGTTCTTTCACAGTGAAATTCAAATCAAAGCAAAGATGTTGATGGTCTACTGCTCCCATCACGCCTTGCCACAGACCACAGTTGTTGGGCATCATGGGAATTGGAAATCCAGTAGCATCTGGAAGGCCAGAGGTTCACCTTTTGCAGTGAGGTCCCTCTGGCCAAAGGAACCGTAAAGTTATGAAGAAGGAAACATACATCAAATTGAATTACCTCCTCAAAATCATTAGCCTTCAATAATTCCATAGCTAAAAACAGTAAGCAATGAATACAGAATATAGCATTAACATTATTTGTTCTGGCAAACAGCTGACACTAAATAATAATCTGAGGCTTTAATCATAGTAAGAATGTATAAAAGAGAGATCAAGCATTTAAGAAAACCATTGTGCTGAATTCAACTATAACCTGTTCCTCCTTCACTTCTCCAAAGTATTGTCTTGCATCCTTTAATATGTATACCTCTCCTCTTCTTTGTAAAAAGGACTACTGATTTAAAAATATAAAGTGACTCAATCCTGGGCCCTACTCATACAGATACATTTCCCAATATCTTCACTATGGTGAAGAGGTTAGGACACCAATGGAACTTTACCTCTTTCTTCTTTTCTTCCCTTAGGTTTCCTCAGCTTCCCCTTTCTCCTGTCTCCCATTCAAATTCATCACCTTGCAGCACTAACTGCTGATAAACCCTACTCAGACTTGCTGAAAGGATGTTTATACCATACACAAGGAGAGGAGTCTATTCAATAATATACTAGCCCCATACCTGACATTATCCTGTGTATGTGCATGGTGACAGGTCTGGAAAAGGTGAGAGCAACAGAAGTTGCGAAATCAGAGTTCCAAACAGCATGGAAAGCCTCCCTGGGTAAGGAAGGATCTCCAAATTGTCACCCTCCACATGAAAAGGATGACAGAACTAGAGACAGAGGAGATGAGACTAGCATAATTCCTCTGCTTGTGTGTTAATATGGTTTCACCATGTCCGAATAGCTGTAGTGTTCCTTGATTAATGCCTCCCATTATGAACCTATGGACTATGTAAATCATACACAGACAACCTTTTTTTTCCTGCGAAGCAGGTGAATTCTATTAGGGAACATCTGTTTGGATTGCATGCTGCTGATGGAGGCAGAGATGAAGACAGTAGTGAGGAAAGCCAAATCCAAAAGCAGGCAGACACTCTTTTTCTCCACCTCTTCCTCCTCATCTATCAGCATTTTGGGAAAGGAGGAGATCATTCTTGCAGAGATCTGAACAGCTTGCAAAAGGATTTTAAAGCTAAACTGAGGGCCATCTGAAATCAGGCCAGGACCCCTATGTGAAATCAGGCCAAGGGTCACAGCTTGCCTGCCTCAGTCTAAACCTGCAGTTCTCAACCTTGGGTTTCCCAGTTGTTCTTGGACTACAACTCCCAGAAACCAGCACAGCAGGTGGTGAAGGCTTCTGGGAGTTGCAGTCCAAGAACACCTGAGTTACCTAAGGTTGAGAACCACTGGTCTAAAGAGTGTAAATGTATGGTGCAAAAAAGAATAGATCACTAACCTGAAGGATTTACAATCTTGTATCTGACATGGGGAAAAACATAGGTAAAGGGAGGGGAGTGGAAGTGGAAGCAAGGGTCAATGAGAATGAATGTTCACTTATTTTAGTTGTAGGCTATGTTATTAGTTCACAGCCACAGTTCTTGTACCTTATGAACCTGTGAAAAAGGAAGACAGTACTACGAATCACTCGTGCAGTACGTGATTCTTCATGCTGTGACCTAGACAATGTTAAACCATCATCCATATGGCCTTCATGGTGCATTATGGCCTGCAATGAGAACCCAAAGAACACTAGTTACAAAAAAAAAATCTATAGCATTATTTGGTTTTACCATTTGCTTTCCCAACTACTCAAAGCATTTCATACACATTATTTTAGTAAACTTAAATTATATAAGACAGATTAATATTCTTCTCCCCTATTACAAAAACAGGTGGCATCTTAATCCACTCTCTACTTAACTTGAGCCACCTACTCTAAAATACTAGATACCATTCTCATAGTCATCACATCAATGGCAGACTGCCACTGATTAAAGACGTTCCCTTTCAATTTTGGGATGCAGATCACTTTGTTTCATTATAGCAGAGTTGTGCACACTCTGGAAAGGAAGAAAGGAAGGAAGGAAGTCTTTAATCAATGCTGCTGATAAGGACATCACTCCTTTTACACAGTAAGAGCTGTGCAACAGGATTTTGGGCAATATATGTAAATTAGAGATGGGGGTATTCCTATTCGTATACAAATATCCACCCAAAGGTGCAGATAACAAGGGTCTGGCCCTCTGGAGACAGAACGACCACTCATAATTTCGCCATTGCCGTGAGCTCCACGGATCGCGATGGATTAGCCAGTACTGGCAGAAGGTGGGATGGCAAGCCTCTCTGCCAGGTCGCAGAGTGGCTAATCCATCATGAGCAATAGAGAGGTAGGAAGGCTTTGTGGAGCTCGCGGCAGTGGAAAAATTGTGAGTGGTCAGTCTGGCTCCAGGGGGCCAGACCCTCGTTATCTCCACCTGTGGGGGGATATTTGTATTTGTATGCAAATACAAATACCCTCATCTCTAATGTGAATGCCAGTGTATCTCCTTGTTACTTACTCACTGCTTAACTGTTACTATAGACATTTCAGGATAAATATTTAAAACTGAAAACATATTATTGAAAGGATGGGCAAAGAGCAGTCCATAGACCAAAGGAAGCCCACAAATATTCTCAGCATAGCTTGTCATGTACCTTGGTCCCATGATACCTCTATGCCAGTAAAAAATTGGCATTAAAATGGCCAATCATGCCCCCAGATGCTCCCATGGGTTCAGCTAATGAAAGGCCATTACTGCCACAGCTTGTTTCAGACCTGGGAAAGACTTTTAAAAATACAATGAAAGCATTACTTCTGCTTTTGAAAAATGGGCAGATGTAACTTGCAGAGCTCCAGGAAAGGATGAAAACATCCTTCAGATTCTCTGCAACTTCCCACCCATTTTACCGAAAATATACAGAAATACTCTCTCATTTGATAGCATTTACTTGCTAAATAAAATGGAAAAGACAAAGATGTAAAGGAAGGAACTGGCATATAGATAGCATATAACAAAATGCATAAATAAAATAGTGAGGAAAAGAAAAAGAAGGAAAACAGAAGATGTCAACAAGGTTAGATCAGGATGAGGTAGGAACGGTTTTGCTGAAAAACTAGATTCTGCAAAGTGATTTGTAAGGGGGAAGCAAGTGATGTAACACAAAAATTATCAAGGAATAGGAAGGTACACATTACTAAATCCCCCCCTGCTCAATATGAAGCTTTCCTCCCAGAAACTGTACAGGTTATTCCCAGCTTTTCTCTGACATGGGTCATATAAAACTTTGGTGTTTTAATATTACAGAATAAAATACCAGGCAAATCTGCCCAGGGACGCCTTATGCTGTGCTTAGCAGCTGTGTGGTAAAAGGTCTAGAATCACAGAATCAGAATAATGGATTTGGAAGGGACCTATAAGACCACTGAATCCAACTCCCTGCTCAATGCAGGAATCCAGATCAAAGAGTATCTAGCAGATGGCTGTCTAATTGTCTCTTGAATGCCTTCAACACTGGAGCACTCACCACCTCCTGAGGTAATTGGTTCCATTGCCTTACTGTGCTAACAGAAAGTTTTTCCTGATATTCAAATGAAATATGGCTTCCTGTAACTTGAGCACATTATTATGTGTCCTGCACTATCAGATGTCTGAGAAAAGATCCTGCCCCTCCTCTGTATAACAGTATTTCAAGTATTTGAAGAGTGCTATCATATCTCCCCTCTGTCTTTAATGGTGTTCCTTCATTCTATTCATTTGTTCAGCACAACACCTTACCTTGCGTTGCACACATCCCATTCTTACAGACTTTGCATCAACTGCCTGGTATGTAAGCCACAAGCCTGTGTCAACATGCTGTATAAAGCATACTGAGTCTCCATATTTTATCTCAGGTGCTCCCATCCCATCCACCTCTTTTCTTATCGCAACATCCAGTTTTTCCTAGAAGAATAACATGTCAAAGTAACCCGTATACACACAAACACAGAAAAAAAATTTAATATTTTTTCTCAACACAGAATAGAAAGCAAGTTTGACTCATTACAACCAAGCCTAAGGTTCCTTATTTTCAACTGAATTTAAGTGTTCTTATTGTTCTATAGAATGCATTCACCCTCTTAAGAAATATCAACATTCTCCAAATGGTCATAAATTCAGAGTTTTTTTCTTTATATCCCTTCTAAGCAAAACTAACCTTATTTTTTCAGTGTTTATTTCCAGTGCCTGAAGTGAACAGTTTCAACATTTAAATTAATGTAATTTATTGTAAGCTACATATAAGTCTGGCTTAAATACATTTAATTCTGAAATCTTTAAATGTTAATCATGCTACATAAATGTGTAAGGTAAAATCCAGTTCTCTATACCAGTGGTCCCCAGCCTTGGGTCTCCAGATGTTCTTGGACTACAACTCCCAGAAGCCTTCAGCACCACCTCTGCTGTCCAGGATTTCTGGGAGTTCAAGTCCAAGAACATCTGGAGGCCCAAAGTTCGCGATCACTGCTCTATGCTGCAAAAGCACACAAATGATACCCATCAAATGAGCAGACTCTCATTTCATTGTTTCCTTGCCAACATTAATGCGTACAGTCCAAGAACATCTGGAGGCCCAAAGTTCATGATCACTACTCTATGCTGCAAAAGCACACACATGATACCCATCAAATGAGCAGACTCTCGTTTCATTGTTTCCTTGCCAACATTTATGCGTATGTGTGGAGGAAAAGAACACTAATAAACTTTTGGAAACCTGCTACAATTGACTGGGTCAAATTAACAGATTTCAGAAACTTTTTTGCTCTGGCAACACTCTTTCAACATCACATGGTTCTAATAATTTTTTGAATGTTTTTAAGATTATCAAATTTCATCATATACAACAATGAGAATACAATGTATTGTATATTACGGTTGATATTTTAGAATTGTTTAAGGAGTTAAAAACATTGAATTGAAGAAAGGGAGGGTGGAATTTCTTTGAAGATCAACATTTTTCAGCCTACCAAAGAATTGTTACAGAGGTATAAGTGAAAAACCTGACTATAACAAAAACCTTTTTTTAAATAGATAAACCAATGGCAAATCTATAGAAGCCTACTCAGATGCAATGCATATGAAGTTCAATAGGGTTTATTCCAAGGTGGGTGAGTATATGAATTCAGCCCTACAACGATGCCCTGCTTTCAAGCTAGGTTCTATCAACACAAATAGATACCTGACTTTGAGAAAGTCACAGTCTGGTCTCTGTCAGGGAAAACATGTATGGGAAACAGGACTCTGGAGTCTGAGGGTGCTGGGTAAAGTCTCAAAAAACTGCTAAGCGTCTCCAGGTCTCTATATTAGGAGATATAAAATCTGGGTACTTCTCTCCAACCAATGGCAGCCGGGCTCATTTGTTTAGGACCAACATGTTTTTACATGTGTTGTGCTTACATAATTGTGGTGTATCAAAAATCTAGGAGGAAAGGGTTGCAGAGAAAGCTGATTATTATATGTATTTTGGATTATTCTTCCATTTGGAGCAACATAAAGAATAGGGTACCAGTATCATGAGTCGTGACCCTTCTTGTTGTACAAGACAGGCAAGCAGTGGTGTAGGACTTGGTGGCCAAAAAAAAAATCATTTTGGGGCTGATGATGAGCCTTCCATACTTTTAGCAGTAATGTACAGCTGGGACTCTCCACCTCATTTCCCCACACATACTTCTGGTTGTCATATGACCTCATCAGCTGGATTTTACCAAGATTTGAGCAGATATATCCAGATGCCTTTTATATTTGCTTCCATAATCACCCCAGAGGTAATTTCATCACTACTTCAACCCTTGACACCAGAGAAACCCACCTCTGTTTTGAGGTTTTGGCTCTACTACTTATAGGCAACCTTAATGAGAAAACATATTTCAAAATATCCAAAGCTACCACATCCCCTTCAGTGGCAATGAAGTAACAAAGGAGGCTATCCATCAAGGCAAACAACTCTAGCCCTACCTCAGAAAAAGTAGGTATACTGCAATAGCAAAAAAGCAGATAACAGCCCTACACAAGTTTTGCCGTACCACCTTCAACTGCATTGCTCTTTGCCATGCAATCCTGCAGGAACAATTTAGCTCAAGAAACACAAGTGACATGACATGCCATTGGAGTGAAATTGCACCACAAACCAAACAAATGTTTAGCCTTCGATCAGGAGTTTATCCATAAAATAAGCACAAGGCCATTATCACATTTATTTCTCGTTAAAATAATTTATGTCCCATATTGTAAAAATCTGCACACCTATCTGTATAGTCTGTAGGTTTATTTTGGAGTCATTAATTCTGGGTATTAATCTTAAGTGAGTGATAGAAGGAAAACTATTTTAAAGAAAGAAAATATTGCATCATTACAAATATTCTAGTGAATCATCTGAATGTAGTATATTTTAAGAGAACGGCCAGAATCCTCTTGAAAAAAAAAACTGTGTTTGCAACAGTAATCATCAAAACAGTTTGTGCCCCCTGGCAGGGTATCTACCACTTGACGCCATGTACACTGCTTGCAAAATTGATTGTACAATGAACAATGGCCATAGCATGAAACTGTACAATGTACAATGGCCATAGCATGAAAACTGCTTACACTACCACCATAACACACACAATTTTCTGTGTACTTAATACTATGTTCAAAGTACTTAGTCCACTGATATTCACAGCCTTGTTTTGTGTTTTCGGTCCATATAAATTACATTTAATTTATTTCACCTAATTTCATTGGAGTCTTATGGTCATCCAAGAAATATTATCTTAGAGTAAAATTTATCCATCTATAAGCAAATCGTATAAAAACTGTAACTTCAAAGGAGAAATAACTATGTGAGCAAGAGGAACTATATTGAGAAATATTTAGGCATTGCTGTATATGTGTGGCAAATTTGATGCATAATCCAAAACAAATTCCTGGCTTGGCCACTCTGTTATTTAAAACTTAATGGTTTGTTTGTCTCCAGCACAAGGAGAAGAATGAAAGTTTCACTTCCATTGTGACATATTGAACTGAGATATGATATGATCACTGTTTATTTTCATAATACATCCAAAGAGAAACTGTTTCATTTTGCTTTGCTTTTTACCTTAGAAGACCGAAAACAAAATGCTGTAGACTTCACATCAGCTTTCTCTTTATCTGTCAGAAGAAGGCTCTTATCATCCATCAGACTTAAATATTTTCCTGTTGTTATATGTCTCAATCTGAAGGGTTGCCCCCATCTAATGTGACTTCCACTCCATCTAATAAAAGTTCAAATCAGCTTTTTTAAACAACACAAATGCCATGCTTAAAAGTCAAATAACATACAAAATGTGCTTAAGACACTAGGCCTTTAATTCATTCAAACAGAAGTATCTATAACTTTTGAAATATCACTTAAATTTTTCCTTCCATAACAAAGGGCACATCAGTACTGCAGTCCAGTGATATCTTAGACAAAGGATGTTTAATGTACTCATGGAACTATCTCCTACCTATTAATACATCTTAATTTCAACAGAGGTAGCAAATTATGTTGTATTAAGATGTATATTATTAATGCAGCACAGTTTTGTCCTGTTCTTCAACATCTCATATCGACTTTCACAAGAATTCCACGTAGACATTCAATATGCACTCAGGCCTTTGCATAAGGCCCACTGGACAACAGGTTGCCAAAACCAAATTAAATGAAAAAGAGCTATGAAATGTGCACAACAGATGTCTAACCCTAAATGTATAATGCTTTAATTCACAGAACCATTTTTCTCTCAGATCTCCTTTATGAATAGAGCTGCCTGCATGTATCCCTCCAGAATTAGAAACACAAATGGCAACTTCTGGATTAGTATACAGTGGTGCCTCGCTTAACGATTTTAATTGGTTCCAAAAAATTCAACGCTATGGGAAAACATCGCTAAGCAAAATGCGGTTCCCCATTGGAATGCATTGAAACCTTTTCAATGCATTTCAATGGGGAAGAAAAAAAATCACCAAAAATTCAAAAAGAGTCCGAACGAAGCCAAATTTGGTTAACAAAGGGTTTATTAAGTGCACTACTCTCAGATCTCCTTTATGAATAGAGCTGCGTGCATGTATCCCTCGAGAATTAGAAACACAAATGGCAACTTCTGAATTAGTATATTTTGAATATGCTAGTATTTCTATTTCTATTAGAAATATATTAGTATACTTCTCTCATGCTATCAATAGGGGGCTCTATAGCGTTAAGGTCTGTTTAAGGAGGCTCAAAGTCATTCTAAATATCCATGCTACAGATAATACTGTACATCAATTTGGCATTTTTGTACTTATAGTAAAAATCCACTCACTATAATCGATATTTATATATCTGTTTGTTAAAAAGTCATATGCATGTTCCTTAAAAGGGATGTGTGCTATGTGCTGATATGAGAACATCTCTCTCAATGCATGTGTCTGAGACAGATAGACAGAGAGAAAACACACATCTCTATGCCACTTTCATAATGGTAAGAACAGTAACAATTGAACAGCTATCTGTTGTTCAGTTATAAAATATTCCTCATGCTTTTATCATATTATCTATAAATGGAAAGAGCCCTACATTGCTGTTATAGTCACACTCAAACAAATGTTCTGTCAAGTATCTTCCATTTGTTGAAGTTGTAATTAGAGATGCTGCCTGTCAAACTGAGGACCTATGATAGTATGTCATTCTTCAAATGTCAAACTAATAGCTCCAAGACTATCCTTTACAAGAAGACACTGCACTTCTAAATAGACTCTCTGTGTTTTATGTACTGCCAAATTGGAACCCTAATAGAACTTTCAAGGAAAGTGACATATTTAAGGAGTGGCTTTACCAGTTCCACAACCTAATGTGTTTTGATGGCTAAGTAGGGATTCAAATCCAGACCAACTAAATCCTAGTTCATCACTCTATTCATTATATCACACAAGACTTTAGTGAAACATTAAAAAAATCTTATTTTTCATTCACTGCCCTCACACTAAAATTAATCCAGGTCAGTTTTAACTCATTAACAACTAAAAGAGAAAGAGATTACTTCATTACCCTGTCAGTCTGTTTTATCATTTCAACAATTAGAAAAGCATAAACATAAAGAACAGCAGTACTCTAGTGGGATATTTCGCTCACAGCTGCTGTCACATCTATCAGTTCATCATTAATTTCCAGAGCTCCAGTGTGAAGTATTTTGAAGAACCTGAACCTGCCATTTAGACTTTAATAGGATTGTCATCTTGGATAAATTATTGCAGATGTCTAAATTGCCACACAGCCATAGCAGTTTTGTCAAGAGAAAGCTTGCATTTTAGGGAGAAGGAAACATTAGTTATCATGATGGAATATAGTATAATTCCAGATATTCTTTACTTACCCAACCCTCAAAGTCTCCAGCCGCCAAAGAGAACGAGCATGAATTGACACAGCACCACCTTCATAATGCACAGTTCTGCAACACAAAAAATATATTCTGCGTCTCTATTGTTTTATTTTTGATTTATTTTTGCTTTCATGGCAACAAAATAAATTCAGCTCCTATTTATTATTTTTTATTTAAAACATTTATATGTCGCCTTTCTACTAAAGGCTCCAAAGTGGCTTACAGTAATAAAAGGAACAAAGTTAAAAGCTAAAAAATAATTATTACAATATTGGAAAAGAACTTAACAGGTATCATACTAAAACTCATAAACAGGAGCAACATTAAACGCTCAGGTAAAACAGAATAAAATAATCACTTTTTAAAATCCCCTTGGTCAACCAGTCATTTAAAGGAAAGCCTCCCTGAAGAGAAATATCTTTGTCTGCTTGCAGAAAGATAGCAACGATGGGGCCAGTCTATCCTCCTGTACTAGTGTAGTAGGGAGTTCTAGAATCTGGGAACAGCAAAAGAGAAGGCCCTTTCCCATGGCCACACCCAATGCACCTATGAAGGTGAAGGGGCCTGAAAGAAACGCCTCTCATGATGATCTTAATATCCAGGTAGGTTCATGAAGGAAGATACAGTCTTTTAGACATCCAGGTAGGTTCATGAAGGAAGATACAGCTTAGATCCAAACCATTTAGGGCTTTATAGGTTAAAATCAGCACTTTGAATTGTGCCTGGAAACAGATGGGCAGACAGTGGAGCTGCTGTATGTTCCCTGTAGTCAGACCCAGTTAACAATCCAACTACAGCATTCTGGGCCCACTGGAGTTTCTGAACACTTTCCAAAGGCAGTGCAACATAGTGTGTTTTACAATAATCCAGCAAAAATATAACTAAAGTATGTATCACCAAGGCCAGATCAGACCTATCAAGGAACAAGCACAACTGAAACACTAGTTCTAACTGTACAGAGACACTTCTGGCCACTGCTGAAACCTGGGCATCCAGGCACAGAGACAAATTCATGAGCACCCTCAGGATGCGCATCTATGTTTTCAGAGGGAGTGTAATCCCATGCAGCAGAGGCTGAATCCCTTGATCTGACTTTTGACTGATCAAGAAAGTCTGTCTTGTCTGGATTAAGTTTCAGTTTATTCGCCCTCATCCTGTCCATTACTGACAGTAGACTCTGATCTAGAACCAAAATGGTTTCCTTGGATTTAGATGGCAAGGAGAAATAGAGTTGGGTGTCATCTCTATACTGGTGACACTGAGCCCCAAAACTCTGGACAACCTCTCCAAGCAGTATCATGTAGATGTTAAAGAGCATACTAAACAACCCACTCTAGCACCTTGCCCAGGAATGGAACATTAGAGACTCGATTAGTTTTGCCACAACCATCCCATTTCCCAAGTCAAAAAACGATTTGACCAGCATCAGTAGCTAGATTAAATAAATGTTTATGCATTTCCACCCTTCAGAACCCTATCAGATTACTAAAAAATGTTAAAACAATCATCCAGGTCTAGTCTCAAATGCCTTTTTTTCCCAAAACAGTGAAGGATGTGACACAATCTAGTGAAGTAGCAAGCTGCAATTACTAATTAGGCGTTATGCTTGGCATGATTAAACTCCTGCCTATCACATCTGAGACACCTGTTATAGAGATACAATGCACCAGAATAAAATTGCACCATGATATAACATATAAATATTAAATCAGATAGGTTTTTATACATTCTGGATCAGTTTCTCCTTTCAAAGAAATGGATTCTACAGTTGTTGCCAATATAGGTTTTCACTATTCTGCAAAGGAGGATATGAACTAGTGTGTAGGTAACTCAGAAAGGCATGAGAACCAAAACAGCTCAGTTATACTGTATTAAAGATCCTATCACTAATTGTCATCTTACATTATATGGATAGAAGGCAAATGCAGGAGGGCACAATCCCACTCCACAATTGTGCTCACAGAGATCTGTTACCCACAAAGCGCATGAAACCCTCAATCAATTAATATAAAAAATCAACAATCTTAATTGCTGTACTACAATTTGGCATGGTCTAGAGGGGCGGGGCTATATAAGGAGTGGTTTTAACCAATTTCACTCCTCACCAGTGAATTTACATGGCCAAGTCAGAATTCAAAACCAGGTACTTTGCGTTCTAATCTGTCACTCTGTCCACTGCACTACACTCAGTGCCAATATCAATATTACTGGCTAGCAATTTAAACAGTGTGTAAACATTACTGTAGCTTACGATATTTATGAAGTAATAAACATGGAGTAAAATGTATCTAAATAAAACCAAGTTCATGACTATCAATTAAAAGCAAATAGTGCAAGAAATGCTGTTACATATCCCAACCAAACATATGCAGCATGTTGACAAATAAAAGCAGCTTGACATTTGGTTAAGTCAACAGCAGCATCACTGTCATGCAACAGAATTCAGAACAGGGATGGCCCCAAGCCATTTCATTACAATAAACGAGTTAATATACAATAACAATTTAAGTGTTGCTTTGAAAATGCACATTTTTTCTTAGCTCTATTGTATGATAGGAAATCATAAGTTTTAAAACAGGCTACTATCCAAAAGCACAAACAAACAAACCAATAAATAAATAAATGGTGACTTGTAACCAGAAGTGACGGAGACAAACCCAATACTTTGAACTACAACCTGTCATTCTAAAGTGCTATTTCATACCAAAAGGAAGCCTTCCCATTCCATTAGTTCCTAACACAGATTTGTAGATATGTAACCTTAAATAAATAGCTGAAATTATCGTGAAATTAGTATCAGATGCAGTTCTTTAGAATTCACTAGATGAAAATGAAAAGGAAAAAAAAAACATCAAGGCATCCAGAACAAAAGCAGGGTCAAAGGGGAAAAAGTGGTCCAAACTAGATACAGAAATAGTAAATCTACATAACACCCACTACTAATTTAACATGTGTAACAAGATCAAGAAGGGAGTAGGCCTCCCAGCCCCCCAACCCCAATATTCCAATGTCCACTACTGATGGTTAACAACAATTATCTGATACTTGACATCCAGGATAAAATCTGAGTATGGAGCAAGTTCCATTAAGGAGCTGTTGGAAGATAAGAGACAAATTATTTATTCTATGAGGCACGACTAGAAATACAGGATTAGAAATACAGAAATTGGACATGTAGTATGGTTAACAAACAAAAAAAAGGTAAAGCTCCTTGACTTTATATTCTTTTTGAAAATGTATTAAAAGATGACAAGTCAGATATTTCAGTGAGCCTTTTCAATAAAATCTATAGAATAGGAATCATTCCTGAAGTCTAGCCAATACTGACGTTTATTACATTATCCAAAAGGAAAATGACAGGTTTTATTTACTGTAGAACAGTAGGCTTAACAATGTTTTTTTAAAAAAATACACAATAGAATTTACAAGAAATGTGAAAAAAATTTAAAAAGAAAAGCAATTTACATTCAGAGTAACTAAGGAAGGACTCTTTTTCCTACACATATTCAGGGAGTGATGCCATGAGAGGAACATGAATATGCATGCTTACTTTATTTGACTATGAGAAAGTGTTTAACAAACATGGCAATTTGACAGAGTCATTGGTAAATAAATGTCAAGATATATTTGGATAACTGATTATTTGTACGGGAAACAAGAATACACTGTGACAATTAAAGATCAGATAAGAGAAAACACGGAAATATTAAGAGTACAAGAATGTATAATCTTGCCACCACTTTTCAATTTTTACTCCAAGAACAACTTTAGAATAGCATGCAATGATTCAAAGGACAAGATAACTGAAAATGAAGTAATAAAAAATCCAGTGTGCAGATGCTATTAAACAATGATTACATGGCATCAAGTTACTTTGACTGATGGAGACCCTCCCAAAATCTTCTAGATATAAATTACTCAGAAGTGGTTTGTTTGCTTCCTTCCTTCTAGTACTGCTCTAGGATTGTTCAGCTAGCCAATGCTGCACCTGCAAATAACCCAAATAAAACCTGTGCTGACGGTCTAAATTGAATTCTTTACAGTACCTATAAATTCTTTCGTTTCGTTTAGTCGTTTAGTCATGTCCGACTCTTCGTGACCCCATGGACGAGAGCACGCCAGGCCCTCCTATCTTCTACTGCCTCCCGGAGTTGTGTCAAATTCATGTTGGTTGCTTCGCAGACACTGTCCAGCCATCTCATCCTTGGTCGTCCCCTTCTCCTCTTGCCATCACACTTTCCCAACATCAGGGTCTTTTCCAGGGAGTCTTTTCTTCTCATTAGATGGCCAAAGTACTGGAGCCTCAGCTTCAGGATCTGTCCTTCCAGTGAGCACTCAGGGTTGATTTCCTTTAAAACTGATAGGTTTGTTCTCCTTGCAGTCCAGGGGATTCTCAAAAGCCTCCTCCAGCACCACAATTCAAAGGCATCAATTCTTCGGCAGTCTGCTTTCTTTATGGTCCAGCTCTCACTTCCATACATCACGACAGGAAAATTAAATATTCAAGCATTACAGAGTCCATTCTGGTTGAACAGTTAAAACCATTGGGAAGCTGAGAGGTCTTGTTCAAATATATGCACACACGTGAACAACACGTATCAGCTACTATCAAAAAGCATATGAAATTTATTAAATTTAGAAGCATATGAAATTTATTGCAAGATGCTTAAGAACTTAGCTCAGGAATGTGCTAATGAAGTAGTACTATAGCAAACAGTACTATTAATACACAATATTGAAGTAAAGCAAAAAAAATTCAAAGAATCATGGTGTCAAAATATAATTTAAACAACATTCCTGATTATTTTAGAGTCCACATAAGAAACAGATTGACATTATTAAATTTTATTATTTATTATTCTTAAATTTCTATCCTATCCTAATAAATTTAATTGACCTCGAACGAGGAGGACTAAAGGAAAAAACAAAGTGTGCTGCTTATATACTCTCCCATAGTGCTTAAAGCACTACCTGGGCAGTTTCCAATTATGTAGTGCAGGCTACACACTGCCCTCCCCCCAAAGCTGGGTACTCATTTTACCAAACTTGGAAGGATAGAAGGTTGAGTC